AAAAAAAAAAAAGAATCCCACATAAATTATTTCCCTTTGGTTACTGACTGCATCTCTTTCTACAAAAACTACTCGTACACGGTCATTTCTTCACAAATGCCCCATTTGATTAGCCTTCTAATCAACTTGGTTGCTTCCTTCTATACTAATGCCTGACTTTGCCCAGTAACCTTAATTGAAATTTCCACAACACTGTCTGTAGCTAAGGCTTCCCAAGGAGCTGTGCCTGGCCGGCTGCTTTCAATTACGCTGGCTGTGCATGCATAGTTTATGTCTGGGCAGTCTCCTGGGCTCCTTGGAAGGTCCTGCTGTATAAATACTGGGAAGAGGAGCAAGTTCTTATATTACTTGTCATAAAACTGTGTAGATTCTAGGCACATTTCCTGTAGAGTACGAGGGACATAAATAATTGGTGGGAAAATTGAAAATGCCATGTTTTCAGGTGACAGAGCATTTCCAGTTCCTTTGCCTTTTGCCCACAAGTACCCCATAGTTGAGGATTTAGAAAAGAGAAGTGAGGATACTTCTGGATTTAATTATGTTGCCTGTGGGTTTTTTCAGCTAGAGTGTCTGTTTCTCATTGTGTTTCACAGTTCTGTGTCTACTCCACATTTGACTGTAATATTCTGTAGAGTTGGGGCCTTGGTATTTTTACTACACAGGGTCTTGAGTGCACCAATGTGTTATCATAGTGACACAATGTTATGAAAAGGGGGGACAATAAATTTGGGGGACAATGAAACCGTGTGTTTTCTTATACTACAAGGTTCATTAGGGTACTGGTTAGAACACTGAATTGGGCATTTTGGTAAATAAATCCAGAGCTGAAAGATTGCATAGGAATACCTTTCTGGTGGAAAATTCTTCTCAGAGGAACCATTTTCAGAAGTCAGCTTCTTACACAGTAATACTTCTTTGCAATGACATTCTGAACTTTAGGTTCCTTATCTAGAAAGTAGAACTCTATCTGCCCTAAAATAGAACATGTTATAATCTGGAACTGCAGTGGTGATGCCAAGTAATGGAAACCATAAGCTTCAATCTCAGCCTTACCCATTACTGGCGTGTGACCTCAGGGTGGGTGCTTCAGCAAATGTTCCAAGTTCACATTTTCTGATCTATGAAATGTGGCCTCTGTCACTTAGAGTTATTGTGAGACTAGAGCAAAATCATTTATGTTAAATCTGTAGAAGAATTTCTATAAATATTAGTTTTATTCTTTCTTCTTTAACTATAATAACACACAACTTTTAATAACTAATAGGATCAAAACTGGAGTCCTGTATTAGGTGGTTTATTCTGATTCTTGCTTCTTGATCTTACCCCACAAACCACTAAATAATGAGCTCTGCTGTATTAAGACTAGTAGTAACAAAAACATTTGTTTTGATTTTCATTGTGTTAAAACATGAAGAGATCTTACAAATAGGAACAGAAAGCCCACTTGTGCATTTGCTTGGCTTTGCAGCGTTCCCAAAGGATCCAGAAATTCACCTGAGTGCTCCTCTGCAGGTTGGGAAGCCTGTCACAGTCAAGTGTTTGGCCCCTGATGTTTACCCATTTGACAGGCTGGAGATGAGTTTACTGAAAGGTGACTCTCTTATGAAGAATCAGGAGTTTCTGGAAGACATGGACAAGAAGTCCCTGGAAACCAAGAGTTTGGAAATAACCTTTACTCCTGTCATTGAGGATATTGGAAAAGTTCTTGTTTGCAGAGCTAAATTACACATTGATGAAATTAATCCCAAAGAAAGGGAGACAGTCAAAGAATTGCAAGTCTACAGTAAGTACTTGAGTGATGAACTCTGGTGTTCATGGGAATTCAATCTTGGATACGTTATTATTTTATTTATTGTTACACAATAAATTTAGCAAGTAGGTTAACAAGATTTGTAGTTTTTACTCTATTCTTATTTATTGGGGATATGATATTTTCCAAAAGTATTATTTAGTGAAAAAAAATACTGGATTTGGATTTAGAAGACGTGAGCTTAATTTCTGGCTTTGTTAGCTGTGTGGCTTTAAGGTTTCTTATTCCTCTTTTTTTTTCTGTCTATCAAGGGGGAATAATAATAGTACTCTCTCATTGGATAGTAGGAAATGAGCTCAAATGATAAAACATTCTTTATCATGTTTTATATAGTCTATATGCCTTGAAACATTGGTTTCATAGATATAAAAATTTGACAAGGGGAGTGCTTATTTTGTGAGTGTGTGTAAAACAGCATGCCCACATGTACACATCTGCCGTGGGTGAGTAAGGTGATAAGGTTTGACAGTCTACAAGCTCCTTCAGATTGCCAGGGAATTTGAGGCTTTCTTCTTATCTCAGAGTCAGGTACAAGGGCACTTGCTGTGCTCTGTGTTGATTGAAATGCTGAGTTCTTCTCTGAACCCTGTTTGAGAGGATTGTCAACTATATCATATTTACCCTGAACAGCATGAGATGGAAAGGATTTTTGTAACAGCATTTCGAGAAAACAATTGAGATAGGGGATATTTCCTCCACAGAATACAATACTTGGGAATGAGAGGTGTAAAGCCACTGAAAGACATGCATGTAAAACAAGGATATCATTTATTCTGGAACAGCAGAAGGCTGAACTAAAACCAATGTGTAAGTGGTAGTCACAAGAAGAAAGATCTCAGCTCAAAAGGAGAATTTTCCCGATAATTAATAGCCAAATTGGCTATCATGTAAGTTGGACTGCCTCCTTCAGTAGGTGCTGGGGCAGACTTGGCTGCGCTCTTGGCAAAGGTGCCTACATGGTCACTTCTCCTTAGTCAGGAGCCTGAACCCTGCGGTTCTAAAGGCCTTTCTTAATTTCTACCTAACTATGGCTCTCTGAGAACACCAAACATCAAAAACTGCAATGTACTGGTTAGAGATGAGATTAGCCATGTTTTAATGACTCAGCAATTCTTGGTGCTCATTTGGCAGAGTGGCTTGTCAAAGTGTGGAGACACATAAGTACAGTCTGCAAGAGAAGTAAACTACACTGTTAGGTGGAGATAATGCTTAACGATTGCTTATATTATGCCCTGCCTTTTCAGTCTCACCCAAGAATACAGCTATCTCTGTGCATCCCTCCACAAGCCTCCAAGAGGGTGATGCTGTGACAATGACGTGCTCCAGTGAGGGTCTTCCGGCTCCAGAGATTCTCTGGAGCAAGAAGCTAGATAATGGGAATCTACAGCTCCTCTCTGGAAATGCAACTCTTACTTTAATTGCTATGAGGATGGAAGACTCTGGAATTTATGTGTGTGAAGGAATTAATCCAGTTGGGAGAAACAGGAAAGAGGTGGAATTAATTGTTCAAGGTGAGTGGAATGTGAGCATGGAGGACAAAGGTGCTGCCACCTGGACTTGAGTGACAGTCATCAACTCTGTGCTGAAATTCCTTCCTTACATTTGCTTGGTGACTGTCTGACAGTCACGTGCTTTAGCATATGTGCGTACTTATGCTACACTTTTTGGCAGTCCTTTCTCCCAGTGCCTCCACAGCTCTGCTTTTCTGGATCTTTTCTAGCTCACGTCATTCCCTGGTTTGGTCTCCTACCCCTGCCCTGCAGTAGTGGCGTTTTCAGGTTGCCCCAGTGGGTCTTTTCTCTTCATTCTAGACATGCAAAAATTGTACTGTGACATCCTGGCTATTCCCCAATGCATACTTACATTCCAAATCACCGAATCTTGACATTTCTCCCTCAAAAGGATTCCCTACAGTCTGATCTCCTTTCCAGCCAATCTCTTATTATCATCGTCTTAATCGATCATTTTTCACTGGGGCTTCTGCAAAGTGTTCTTAAACAGCAGCATTTACCAAACACCATCTGTTCTTCTCCTGCTCTATATAAGCCATCTATAATCTTCAAGAAATAATTGAGGTGCATTTTCTATCTGTTTTACAGATGAATCTCAGACCAATAATGGCCATCTATTGACCGTACACCTAGTATTTGCCAAGATTTCTACATTGTACTTTATATATTATCTCAGTTTTTACCATGTTCTGTGAGGTAGCTGAAAAACGCAGGTGCCATATAATTCATAATTTGCAGAGCCAAATACGTTTTAGTTGTATTTGACTCATCTTAATTCATAGCCCCATGCTTATTCAATTGTACTACTTGTCTCAAAGTTTAAAATTAATATTTTAACTGACATAAAAATTATAAACATATATTGGGGATGATGAGATGTTTTGATATATTTATACAATGGGGAATGGTCAAATCAAAGTATATATTTTAGCAAGAGCTCAAACAATGTATGTACTTGAATGTATCTACACATTAAACTGCATGCTTCTTAAACTCAGGAACTCACTGTGTTTGTCTTTTGATGTTTGGGCTCCTAGCATAGTATCTGACGCATGTTTAGTAAATGCTAGCTGGATGGACCAATAAATTGCAAACATGGACAACACAAAATTTTAACTTACAAAATATGGATTTTAAACTTAGATGATTAAAAAGGTAAAATTCAGATACTATCAGTTGATCAAGTTGGGTAGGTAATTGGCCCAGTATTCTCAAATGATCAGAAAATGTATTATACTAATAAAAGTGAGGAAAGGTGAATCATCTGTGCTGAAACAGGTGCATCCTATAATAATCTGGACCTCATTTCAATGTGTAGAGGAAATGTGTTCTAGGCTTGGGGAGGGTTTATTTATATTTTACATCACCTGAGCTACTGAGAAGTTCAAGTACTAAAGACAGAGCTGAATGTTCAAAGGACCTTTCAGCTACCCAAGGGAGCTGTTCCCCAGAAGCTACATGTTCATTCTGTGATGTACATAGAACTCTCTGTAGGCAGGAGGCAGATCTACTACTAAAGTTGTCCATTCTGGCAGTAGTAGCCTGGAAGGAACTCAGACAGCCTGATTACTGGTCTGAAAGATCTCTTTCGAAATCTAATAGCAAATCAGTTAATTTTGGGGTAATATGAGGAGCATTTTCTTTGGAAAATACTGCACTGACACAATAACACATACTAAATTGAGCAAAGTAGCTTGTTCTGGTACAAATAAGAACCACAGAAAGTGGCGTGTGTTTGAATTATGTGCTGAGACTTCCTCCTATCTCCAGCTTGTTGGAAGAGTCTAGTGATTCTCTTTGGGGTCTCATCTGTCACTTGCAAAGTTGCCCAACCAATTCCATGATTTTCAAGGCAACAAAGTCAAGATTTAGAATTCTTTATCTCAAATTGTGTAATCTCATCCCAGCCTGTGTGCCTGGCAGGGTCAGTACTAGCACAAAGAGAACTTTTTTGGATCTTTGAAACTCAGAAGTTTGCCCTGGCCTCTCAGCTTTCCACCCCTGAGCTAACTGTAAAGTATTTTAATATTGCAACAGACATATTTGAGAGGCGAGTCATGCTGTGACTTTAATGCTTACATTTCTGTTTTGCTTTCAGTGTGATTCTATGTGACCCTCAAAGATACTACTTTATTTTGGAACAGAAGTGCTGGGCATTGGCTCATTATGGATATTGTGTCTAACTAGAGGACATTTTGATGTAGCTTTTCCTGTATCTCTCATTTTTTAAAATATTTTATTTATTCTTTTTATTTTATGTGTATAAGTGTATTACCTGCTTGTGTAAGTGTACCCATGTCGTGCAGTGCCCACAGAGGTCAGAAGAAGGCATTGGATTCCCCAGAACTATAGTTCTGAACGGTTGTTAGCCACCATGTGGGTTCTGGGAATCAAACCTGGTCTTCTGCAAGGACAGCCAGTGCTCTTAACCACTGAGACATCTCTCCAACCCCCCTGTATCTCTTTTAGGTCTCATTTTACCTTCATGTGAGGATGACTTGATTTAGTTGTTATAGGAACTGAATCTTGAATCAGACCCATCTCACACCACAGCCTAATTTTTTCACTTGCAAACTGACTAGTTATTTAGCATTTCTGAGCCTAAATTTCTCAGAGAAAAGAGGATGGAGAAACTGAGGAAGAGAAGGAGAAAACACAGAAGCAAGGGAGAAGGAAGCAGAGAAGAGCTAATAGGACTGGTTAATGACATTATTCTGAGAACTTAGATAATACATGTAAGGTCTGTAGAGTAGTATGCACAGTGCTTGAAACACAAGAACCAACTACATGTGAGCAGAGGTTAGATTATTGCCCTGAAAAGATGACAACCACTCTCTTGACAGATTTATATCTACACTTACTCTGATGGCCTGATTCAGCAGAGTAGCATGGGTTCATTCTTAAAGATGTGGTCTCATTGCTGATGGTTCCAAGATGGAAAGAAGCAATTTCTTCTTGGCACAGAGAGCAGCTGAGCGGAGAACAGGAAAGATAAACATCATGTGTGGGAATATGATGAAATAAGGAAAGAATCTTATCTGCTCTTTGTCTTGTTCTCTTTTTTTTTCCTCCCCAGAGAAACCATTTACTGTTGACATCGTCCCTGGACCCCGGGTTACAGCACAGGTTGGGGGCTCAGTCGTACTGACATGTGCTGTTGAAGGCTGTGAATCCCCCTCTTTCTCTTGGAGAACCCAGATAGACAGCCCCCTCAGTGGGACAGTGAGGAGTGAGGGGGCCATGTCCACACTGACTCTGAACCCTGTGAGTTTTGATCATGAGCACTCTTACCTGTGCACTGTGACCTGCAGGCAGAAGAAACTGGAAAAGGGAATCCAGGTGGAGCTCTACTGTAAGTGGTTTTCAAAACTGGTGATTCTTTGATAACTACTCTTTACCCAAGTTCCATTGGAAGACAAAAGAATGTGAATCTGTAATGAGGTTCATTCATTTAGAAAGGAAGTTGGCATTTGGGAATGGTCCCTAAATCTCTGAACTGTGGTCTGATGTAACACAGTTGGCCCACCTCTTAAGTATACATTGTATATGTACATGGCATGCACACAGTTGGTGTCTTGTCCTGCTCTTGCCTCATGCACTTGGCACACTCCAGGCTCTACTTCTCTTCCCTTCCATGGGTATACAGGTGTTCCTGAAAGCACTGGGGGCCTGTGTCCATTAAGGTAGCTATTAGATGGGGGTGGTGACTGCCTCAGGTACTCAAATTGAGGGTGAGACTCAAACCTGTCTTTGTTTTGTTTTATGGTGTTGGAGATGGAACCCAGGACTAGACAGGTGCTCCACCGTAGAGCTATAACCCCAAACTTGGAGCCTGCTGGTTTTGTTTTGTTTTGTATGGCCATATTGAGAAGTCTTTATTTCTCCTTCATTTCTGAAGGAAAGCTTTCCTGGGGGAAGAATTTATCACTGCCGCTGTTACAAAACAATGGGTACTTTGCTCAAAGTCACTTTTCCGTTCCTCTCTCTTTTCCTTCCTCCTTCTACCCTCTACCTCTTTCCTCCCAGATTGCTCAGATGTAGAATTCCTTTGTGTGTGTGTGTGTGTGTGTGTATAATTTTAAAATCTGCATTTTTGTTCATACCATGTGTGCAATGCCATTATACCATTTTTGCATGAAAGAGGACAAGAATGGGGCAATGCTACCAGGGAGGAACAGGGTGGGGAGTGGGGAAAGGAGCCTGCTGCTCTAAAGGCAGATTTGGAAAGCTAATCTGCAGAATGGAC